CAGTGGTATTTGGGACAGTCCCAGGGCTACCACCCTGGACATGTACGGCCCCGAGTTCCTCCTCTGCATGAACTCCAGATCCTCACAAGATCCTAAGTGGTAGGAGCTCCTCAACCCTATCGAGGGCCCCACCTCACACAGGAGACCAAGTGACCACAGCCCAGGCAGGATTCAGGCCCACCTGGATCCAAGTCCAGCCCACACCCACTGCACAGCCAGGGTCAACAGAGAGGGTGTTCAGAGCCAAGAGAGAGTTCTGGGCCTGCAACCTCTGCAGGATTTCCACCCCCGTCTCCCATCCTGCAGAGTGGAGGCAGGGAGGCCAGGGAGCAGGTGTGTTGGTATTGCTCCTGCTGGCTACGGAGCCTTGGGCTGGAGGCTGTGAGAAGCAGAAGAGCAGGAGGAGGAGAAGTGCCCTGACGGAGGACCTGGAAGGACAGTCTTGCCTGCAGCCCAGGGCCCTTGCCCGGCCTTGGTGACCTCAGCCCTTCCCCCTGGCCTCACCCCCAGCCAGACCTGGCGTCCCAGCTGAGCCTCAGGCCGACCTCCTGCACGCTCAACTTTTGGACTCAGGGAGGCTGTTCTGACTGTTCTTTTCCCTGCAATGTCCTTGGAGCCCCCATTTTAGTGACTTTGTCTCCTGGAGAAGAGCTCATCACTTTGGTGTGAGATTATTTCAAGGTTGAATTCTTGCAATGAAATTTATCTTTAGACCTTGATTCACAGATCAATTCAGGATGCTGACAACAGAGATGACAGACACGCGAGGCTGACGCTGCTTCTCTGAGCAGCCCCACTGCTGCAGGAAGACACCTGCCAGAGGGTTGGGATGGGGGTGGTCACCCTGTCAGTGAGTCACTCCTTAGATTTATATCAGGCCCTCCCTCCCAAGGATTAGAAATCCATGATTCACTGCTCACGTGGATACTTAGGACCCCTGGGGCTGCCATCACAAATGGCCACAAACTTGGTGGCTTCATACAACACAAGTATATCTTCCCACAGCTCTGGGGCAGAAGTCCAAACTCCAGGTGTGGACAGGCTGGTTCCTTCTGGTGGCTCTGAGGAAGAAGGGGTCCCCAGCTCCTGTCCTAGGTCCTGGTAACCCCAGGAATCCTTGGTGGTCCTGGGCCATGATCACTCTGATCTCTGCCTCCACCATCTCATGACCTTCTCTGTGTGTCCTTGTCTGTCTCCTATAAGGACACTCACTGGATTTAGGGGCCACCCAAACCCAGTATGGGCTTCCCTGGTGGCTCAGATGGTAAAGAACCCACCTGCAATGTGGGAAACCTAGGTTTGATCCCTGGATCAGGAAGATCCTCTGGAGAAGGAAATGGCAACCCACTCCAGTACTCTTGCCTGGAGGATCCCATGGACAGAGGAGCCTGGCGGGCTATAGTCCATGGGGTCACAAAGAATCAGACACGACTGAGTGGCTACACACAGTTATCCAACATGACTCCATCTAAGTCCTTACTTTAAAGGCATCTGCAAAGACCCTGTTCCCCAATAAGGTCACCTTTTGAGGTTGTGGGTGGACATGAATTTTGTAGGGACACTATTCACCTCACTGCAGGTGGGGTGACCTCCTCACATCACTCTGTGACTTGCACTTGACTTTCAGGTCCTCCCTAACAGCCTCGGAGGGGCAAGGAGTGGTGTGGTGACACAGTGATGCACAGTTGGCTGTCCCCAGGTGGGCATCCCCTGACACAGCTATGCCTTTGTCCCTGCACAGCCTCCCATGACAGCTCAGACCTGGCTCTGCTGTAGGATCAGGGGAGCCACGAGAGACCATGTGTCATTGCCAGCAGACGTGTCCTGATGACAAGGTTTCTTCTACATGTGGCATCCCACCCCCTCCACCAGCAGGAAGGGCCTCCGAATTCTCTCTGTCCCCCAGACTCAACGGCTGCATCCCACACGGGTCCAGGGAGACCCCACGATGCTTAGGTCACACCAGACACGGGCCCACTTGAATGACTTCCTGAAGCCACTGGCTGTTTCCCTCCATCCCCTCCTCCCCTGCTTATTTTTTGTAAAGGTCTCAGCACACATCCCTGAAAATAAAACTAAAACTGCTGCAACCCAGATCATCAGGGGTCAGAGTTGCACGCATCCCAACCCTCTCCACCGGGAGGAAAAAAGGTTGATGAGGAAACAGAATGGTTGTTTTCCCCAACCTCGTCGAACCTGAGGCAACAATTTTAAAAGGCACCTTAATTTATTTCTAAAAAGAGACAAACATAGCATTAAATCATTATCAGATGTGAGCAAAGCAAAGCCGCTAATCTGGCTTTTATTTGACTCCATTTAGTTAAAAGTAGCTTTCTGCTGGGGTAGGAGGAGGACGGGCAGGAGAGAAGAAATAAAATAATACTACTAAAAAATGCCCTTGATGGAAATGATAAGGTTCCCTTTGAAAGATGGTGCGTCTCTCTGCGTGGAAGGCAGCAGCTCCCAGCCCTTCAGAGATCCGGGGAGGCGGCTGGGCCCGGCTTTCTTATGTAAATCACCCACCGCCACGCTGCCAGCAGTGCCAGCTGGCCCTGGGACTGACTACGAGGAAGACGGAAGCCAGACGGAAACACCAGTCCACACTTCGGGCGTCGGTGCAGGACACCTGGAGTCCATACAGGACGGAAGAAGGCCCGTCTTTCGCAACCCAGAGTGCACAGTGAACTTGACTCAGGGTTTGGGATCCAGCAGAAGAGCCCCAGGATGGCGGATCACAGCCATGGCTTTTATTTGACATTGAAAATTTATCACAAAACAAATCTCGGTTCTTTGTGAGAAAAAGGAAAACAAGAAAAAGAAAGAAAGAAACAGAAGGAGGAAACACTCAGAATGGCATAAAGTTTTTTTAATCTTTTTAAATTTTGACTCTGCTGGGTCTTTGTTGCTGTGCTAGGGCTTTCTCTAGTTTTGGCGAGCAGCGGCCACTCTCTTGTTGAGGAGCATGGGCTCTAGGGGACACAAGCTCAGTGGTTGTGGTACACCGGCTTAGTCACCCTGAAGCATCTGGGATCTTCTTGGACCAGGGACTGAACCTGTGTCCCCCGCATTGGCAGACGAATTCTTAACCACTGTATCACCAGGGAAGTCCTGGCATAAATTCTTGACAAGCTCAAGCCCCACCTTGTGCCCAATCCTCACTCCCTGGAGGGAATTCAAATCCTCACCTGTGCCCAAGAGAGGGCTTTTTGTGCCAGAGTGACCGAAGACCACAGTCTCCAGGGGAGGAGGTTTGGCATAGGAAGAAAGGCAGAGGAAAGCCCCTCAGGTGTGTACAGAACCTGCTTTTCAGACTTAAAAAAGCGTGGACCACCTTCCCACCCCAGCTGAGCCCAGCTTCACCGGCCCCAGCCCCACGGAACCAAGGCCATGGTCACTGGAAGAAGGTGGGTCACTAATTCAGCCCCCAGTCCTGGTCCTGAGGCAAAGTGACTGTCCTCCCCAGCCCGGTCACCCGTTATCAGCCAAGCATCAGCTCACCCCATAAGCCTGAGACCCTCCCAGCCCCCGCACCTCTGCCGGCTTCCTTCTCACCCACCCTCCTCTGAGTCAACTTCTTTCTTTCTACCCCCTCCCTGCCCTTCTCCTGCTGTTCCTCTAACGGACTTTATCACCAACCGATCATCGATGCTGTAGCCTAGTGGTGTCTGAGCACCACCAGGAGGTCAGCTCCTGACCTGCGGCAGGGATGGGGGTCGTCTCAGGGCACCACAGTGTCCCGACTCCTGCACCAGCTGGCCGGGAGGAGTGCCCACAATCCAGGCCAGATGGATGAATGAATGAAGTAACGAGGGAGCAACGATAGACAAGCAGCAGCCCTGGCGGATGGCCTCTCTCCTGCCAAGGCCCCTCGCTGCTTCCTCGAGTGCTCAACCTCCCCTGGCTCCTGCAAACCTGTCGCCCGAGGGCTCCCCGGGCACATCATGGAGGGGCGCCCCCCCCCCACTCCCAGTCAGGGCAGGACTGCCACCAGTCCCTCCACACAACGTGCTGGGACAGTGGCCTGAGCTACACAAGGGCCTGTAGGGCTCCCTGTCCAGTCTCTGTTTTATACACTAGACGTGAGGTAGGGAAGCAGCTGGGCCACCAGTGTGCATGGATGGAACGAGCTCCTGGAGGATCTGCCTCTAGGAAAAGAGCAGCCCCTTGACTTTCCAGTTCTTAGAAGCATCTGGAAATGGGAGGAGATGAAAGTGAAGGATCCTATGCCCACCCCCACCCCCCCACAGTGCACCCCCTCCGGACTTTCTCCTCCTCCACCTCCTTGGCCTCCAGGACAGAAAGCAACTGGGCTCCAGACCACCTTCCTTCCTGAAACGCACTCCTCACCAGGGCCTGGTCCCTGGAGACAAGGCCTGGGCCTGGACTGGCCTGTGTGGACGAGCCGAGATCCTGCCGTGCGTGCAGCAGGCATGCAAAACACAGGGGCTGCCCTTGAAAAGACAGCTTGGAGAATGTAAACAACAGCCAGGGACACCCTTTGGTGGGTTCTCACACTGTAAACTCAGTTTTTTTGTCCACACAAGCACTGGGATGGGGGTGGGCAGAATAATTCCACTGACTCCGGCTGACCTGATCCTGGAAGACATGACTCGGTCATGTGGTCAAAAGGATGGAGTTAAAAGATCTTGAGATAGGATGGTTGTCCTGGACTCTCCAGGTTAAGTCCAGGGTCATCACAGGGCCTCACGGGGAGGCAGGGGGACCAGAAGCAGAGCAGAGGCAGAGATCAGCGCTGCCCTCCCCTCAGGTCAGGGCCAAGCAGACTCTCCCAGGAGCCACAGGCCACAGGCCACCTGACTGCCCTCGGCCACGTCAGCCTCCAGGGAAAACCAAGCTTATGCTGTAGACAGAAAACCTCTGACGAAGGTGAAAACAGCAGAAAACACAAAAACTGCCTAAAGAAAAAATGTGTAAAAGTTGAGTAGAAAACCTCTGACGAAGGTGAAAACAGCAGAAAACACAAAAACTGCCAAAAGAAAAAATGTGTAAAAGTTGAGTATTTTTGTAGTTTTTTTAAAAGATGTGAAATAATACCAGTATAAAAAAATAGTACATACCAAACAATATAGTGTTTGTATAAAACTCTGTAAAAAAGCACAATTTTATCATTTAAAAATAATTCATAAAATACATTTTGCTGAGAGCAAATCCTAACATCATAGACAGTGACGACTCCCGTGTGCCACAGAGAGAAACCGGCCTGGGTTCACCTGGGCGCTCACATCTCCCACGGGACTGCTATGCAGTCAGTACTGGCAGCAGCCTGACGGAACTGGACAGGACCATCATACACAGTCAGGGCGTGGGGACCCCCCGATCCTTGGCCGAGTTCACAGAGCAGAGTCCTGGGACAGGAGCAGCTCATGAGAATGGCAGGACAGCCCCCACCTCTACTGGTAGATGACCTTCACGCAAAAGGTCTCCTCGTTTTTGTCTTCGTGGTCGTTGATGTAAATCAGGATCTCCTCCTCCCCGGCTCTCTGACGGGACGCAAACTGCAGGCCGATGGTGTAGGTCTCACCTCCCCCGACCTGGAAAGAAATGTCGCCATACTCGTGCCCACCCAGCCGGCTCCACAAGCAAACACACACACACACACACCTGCCATACTCGTGTCCCTGCCCTCACCCACCAGCTCCTCTCTCTTCCAGCAGCTTCCACATAGGCAAATACACATACACGCACGCGCACACACACACACACCCCACCCCCAGGCTGGCACACTTCAGAAAACACATGTACATTCGGAACCAACCTCCCATGTTACTGTCAAGCCCTCTCCCCCATAGCCGCTCTTCCCAAGTCCCCGGGAGACACGTCACTAAGCCCCCTTCCCTGGTTGACAGCCTCTGATCCCCTCTGAGCTGCTGCTCACTTTCCCTAAAATAGCCACGGTAGATCAAGGCCTCACTTGCCAGACAATCTGGATGAAACTGCTGTGAAACTGCCGGGGAGGTAGGGGCCTAGGTGTGGGGTCAGAGGCCCAGGCAGAGCTCAGCGGGGGCGCCCCTGGGGACTGCAGGCATCTCCCTGTTTCCTCCAGGACTTCCTGGAGCGCCCCCCACCCCCCTGCCCCTGCAGGGTCCCGCCCCCGAGCAGCCCGCACCTGGAAGGCGTCCTCCTTGAACTGCAGCAGGTGGGGGTGATCGCTGAGCAGGCGGTAGGCCCTCCGCGAGGGGTAGGGGTTGGTGTAGGTGATGCGCTTGTTGGCGCCCCTCCCTCCCCCCGCAGGCAGCTTGATCTCGAAGGCCTGCGGGGAGTGCAGGAGTTGGCCCCTGGCTGCTTCTCCGGCGGCTTCCCAAGCCTGCCCTGCGTTCGGGGCCCTTAGACACTGGACGGCTCCATAAATACAGCAGACAAGCCCCCCGAGGTCCTGGCCGAGGAGGCTCACGGTTCAGAAGCCAACACCCCCCAGACCCCCAGCCACTGGGCAGGCCAGGTTAGGGGACCAGGTGACAATCAGGGGACACCCCACCCCAGCTGCATGGCCCCACACCCCACATCAGACCTTGGAGATGAGAGGCGGTCGGCAGGAGAGACACAGGAGCCACGAGGCCACCAGCTGGTGGGCGTCCGCGTCGACCAGGTGGAGGTTCACGAAGCGGCTGCCCGGCCTGCGGGGCCTGACGCTCACATGCAAGTCCTGCACCCCATGAGGGGGCAGCACGAACACACCTCTGGGGTCCGTCTTCCAGGGGACAGGGGAGAAGGGGGACGGGAGGTAAGGGCTTCATCCCAGGGAGCCCAACGGTTCAGGGGTGACCACCTGTGCTGGGTGGGAAGCCCGCCAGTCTGCATGAAGTCAACCTTGCCACTGGCACCAGTACCAGCGGGGCACAGTCCATGTCCCCATCTTTGGGATTGAGTCCCCTCCCCCACAGCAGGAACCCCTAAGTGCTGGAGCGGCCTTGGCAGAGAAGAGCTGAACCAGCCCAGCCTCGGGTGAGGCATTCGCATCATCCCATCATCGAGATGTACAACTGTGGCCATGCTGACTCCAGAGTCACAGTTAATTCTTTCCATGATATACAATACATACTCCCATAAATACGGTAATATATACTCCCAGCAATTCTACAAGTTGGCCCTGGGGGTCTGTAAATAAGTCAGTCACCCCATGAAGGCACATCTGGCAAAGGCGATGTGAACCAAGGCTCCATTGATTTTTCAGGAACCCCCTGAGTCGCAGCACCATTCCCATCCCCTCCCCAGGTGGGCAAGGATAGGAGGGCCCAGGGGACCTACTCGAGACCCAACAGCCCCCACCCAAAGGCCATACCGTCAGCTCCTGGGGGTGTGAGCTGAAAGCCTGCACTCTCCTAACTGTCTGCGTCCCCCGGAGGACAAGAGCCAGGCGGGTCCTCTGGCCAGTGATACAGGAGACGTCCACTCGCTGCAGCGAGTGCAGGTGGACCTGCCAGGTCTGGACAGGTGTTGCCAACCAGCGGTCTCTGTGGGCAGAAGCTATTCACGGTCAGCGAGGACAGTACACTGACTGTTGGAGGGGAGCCCCAGGAGGCTGAGAAGGCAGCCAAGAGGGCAGGCGGGGCCCAGATGCTGTCACCCCCACAGCCCCCTTCCCTCGGAGGCTGAGGCTCTCAGGCAGGGCTGTGGCCTCTGTGTGGCCTTGACCCTGAACAGAAACCCCAAATGTGTGGCAACGTGGGCTTCTGCACACTTGCACCTGGGTCAGCAGAATCCCAAACCAGACCTAGAGCAAACCCCCTGGACAGCATGGCATGGACAAGGATGTGGGCTCAGAGGTCACATGGGCCTGAGCCCAGGCTCTGCACCAGCCATCTGGTGCCAAGGACACTGACCCTTGGTGGTAAATGGGCCTCAGGGACACCTGCCCACAAGCCATCATGAGGACAGCACTCTTTAACCACCACATGGCAGCTCCAAGCCAGGCACTGACCCTCGGTGGGGTGGGCACTCAGTGCAAGGGACACCTCCCAACCTTCCCCATTCCCAGACGGGCTGCAGCAAACTCTCCAGCTTGCCTGTATTGGTTTCAGAGGCTCTCAAGGCCTGGGAGATATGACCCGCAGGAAGAGGGAAAGGGACTGAGGTCATTTCCCTGGGTCCTCGGGCATCACAGGAAACAACACCACCTTCCACCTCCCTGGGGAGCGTGGTAGGCACAACCACAGCCTGCATCCCTCAGACATGGAAGGGGCCACGGGGACAAGGCTGTCTGGCCATACTGGCACGTGCTGCAGCAGAAGTGGCCTCCTGCCTGGGTCTGAAGCGTCCCACCAGCTGGTAATGCCAGCTGAGCAGAAGCTCCTTGCAAGACCTCAGCCAGTCTCAGCTCACGTGGCCAAACGCCTGACGGCCTCCTCATCACAAGTGTAGAAGCTGCAGGGCTGGCTACTTCCAAGGCCACCAGCGGTCCCCAGCCTGCCCCCTCACCAACCCCCCACCCCACCCTCCACACTACCAGGGCCCACACGCTCACACGTAGATGATGACAAAGAAGTCCTTGACCTCTGGGCTAGGGCCACTGGCCACCTTCAGGAACACGTCACGGGGCTCCCCGGGGCCCTGTTGACAGGGGGGTGCATCACAGCAACACTGGGCTCCAACATCAGCCCCCCAAGACCCCAGGAAGCGAATGCAGGTGTGAACCAGGCCCCCTCCCCCAACACATTTTTAATTCTCTGTACTCGTCAGAATTCATTATTTTTGTCACTGCAAAAGAGAAAAATCCTTAACTTCTTGATTTCATATTGAGTTTAATAATTATATTCTGCAGGAGATTTTATCCCATTTCCTAACCAGTCATAACATAATTATGGCCGTTATCCTTGCACAATGGCAATTAATAAGTGCCTTAATTACCACTCACTTTATTCTGTTTGCCTCACACATTTTTTTTTAATTTAAATTCAGATAATCAAGGAACTGATCTGCTAGCAGGAAAAATGAAAACTCATTCATAAAACTCTCATGAGGATGTCAAAATAGCCCTTTAGCAGCTTAGAAACAAGCCACTTTGGTGAAAACCTAAAATGAAGAGGCTGCAGGACACCCAGGATACAAACGGTAGGCAGGGCCTGGAGAGGGCAGGGCTACAGAACTTACCATATTCTGTGTCTCACAAATGATGTTCGGGTCACTACATCGAACGTGGAGTGGGGGGTCCTCACTGGACGTCCCTACAGGGGCACCTGGAGGGGGGAATACGAAAGCAAATGTCTTTTCCCAAAAGCCAAGGCCCCATAGGTGCTTAATGAAACCCACGAGGGGACACAGCTGTCTGCGTGAGCACCAGCACTTCTTTCCCACCCGAGGGAGTAACCAAAGGAAGCGGGGGGTACCATGGGGCCAGGAGCCAAATACAAAGGCTCAGTTCTACTCTGCAGGCACCAGGGAGAAGTGAATCAGCAGGTGAATCCCCAGGCCCAACACGGAGGGCAGCACAGAGCCTGCCACCCGAGGCTGGGGACCTTCCCAGGGCTGTGGATTCCAAGATGGAATCCGAGGGCCACGGGCGCCCTGCCACTGAAGAGGATGTGAGAAGGTCACCGTGTCAAATGGTCAGGCAGGAGGCTACGCTGGGTCGTTTAAGAGCATCCCGGGTTGATGGAAGAAGAATACTTGTCACGCTCAGGGAGAAGCCTTTTCCACCTGCTGAACCTGCCACAGGCCGGCCGTGGGGAGAGTGGGACGTGCCTGGAAGCGTGTGCCACGGCGGCAGGCGGATGGCCTTCTTCAGGAAGGTGAGCTCCGGGTGGTAGAAGCGGAAGACCTGGTCCACCACGTGGGGCTGCAGCTCCACCGTCAGGCAGAGCACGGCCAGGGGCTTGCCGCTGCCCGCGCGAAACAGGACCTGCCGGAGAGCGGGCGGCGCAGGGTCAGGACCCACACACGGGGTCCCAGGCAGCTGCATGCATGGCACCTCTCTGGACAGAGAGGGTGGGGGTCCCTGTAGGGTCTGCTCACCCCCAGGAGGTGGGAAGGGCAGGCAGAGTCAGACACACAGGGTCTGCAGTCGTGGGTGCCCACCCGAGGTTACCGGCCTAGCACAGGTTCTTACACACATGGACCACACACGGCTGCCACTCCTGCCACTTCCTGGAGGGAAGGGAGGTGCTCAGAAGGCCAGTGAGAAAGGTCTGCAGCCCTGAATACCCCTCTGATACTCACACTGCCTGCATGTGCTGGGAAGTCATTCTAGAAGATCTAGACACTAACCCCACCAGGTCCTCATGGGTGGGAGCAGAGCACGTTCCCCCAGATGGTAAAAGGAGGCTGTGCTTAAACCCAAATGGCTACAAATACAAACTTTCTTTTTTTAAAAAAATGTTATTCACTAAAAAAAAAATGCATATGTCCAAGAGAGGTTCTAACTGGGGAGATGATGGAGCCGGTATCTTTATTCCGGGACTCGGCCGGCCCAGCAAGCTCTCGGGAGCCAGGATGGAGAGTGGCACATCATCAGCCCCAAAGTTGGACAACCTTCCCACATCAGCACAAAGCTCAGGCCTCCAGACAGACCTTCCACATGGAAAGGTGGCTCTCCCAGTTTGTGGGTTTTATTCTGAAACCTTTTAGATGTGTAACTGGACACATTATAACTGGACAGCTACCCATGAGGCCACGTGGGCGTGAAACTGCCCACCCTCTGGGCCCCCAGCACTCGGCCGCCCTCTCCAGGGAGCCCTTCCTGAACTCACGGTCACTATCCCTTGTCTGTCTTCACCATTCCCTCCGGGTCTTTAAGTGACTCCGTGTTGGCACCACCTTTTTGGAGGGTCACCTGAAAGCCACTGCCCCATGCATCTGTCCCCAAGTCTGTGCCATGCCTTGTGTGTGCCCACCCGGCTTCATGATCCACTGGGAGGGGAGGCCCACCACTGCACCCACATTCCTGGCAGCTGCGCCCTGACACTCCTGCTGCAACTTCACTGCTACGCTGGGACCTTCAGCTCTACAATGACCAACTGTTTATTTAGAGCAAGGATCTGTTCAGAGGGATCAGGAGCAAGGGCACCCCAGTCATAATGAGCACACCCAGTACCAGACCTTAGTTTCTAAACACCATTCTCCACTAACAGGAACCTTAGATAACTGGCTGATCCAGACACGGAACAGAAAGTCTAAGATGACTCAAGATGGAACATCTCATGTGCCAGGCACTGAGGAAGAGATCCAACAATAGCAGGGACCTGTCAAAAGGACACAGAGGCCAACTCAAAGCAGAAGCCCCTGGTGGATGAGCAGTAAAACAGAGAAAGACAGTGACAAATGACAACCTGCTGAACGAAAGAAGAATTCATGCTCCAAAAGGGTGACAAATAAACTACAGGAATGAATGGAGGGAGGCAAAGCTCTGCCTCACTTAGAATGTAGACGGGGCGATCAAATCCGAAAGTCACCGACAGCCAACCATCACGCAAGAATCATCAGTGAAAAATTATTTTAAAAAGAATGTCTGTATGTGTAAAACTGAGTCACTTTGCTGCACAGCAGAGATTGGCACGACACTGTAAGTCGACTATACTTCAATTTAAAAAAGAATCATCAGTGGATATGAAAACTAGCAGCGGAAGTTGATGAGGAGCAAGATATTGACATAGTCTGAGTATCTCCTGACAAAACTCAGATATTGATGTAGTCTGAGGAGCTCCTGACAAAACACTATAGTTCTAATTATCATCTATAAAATACTTGTGAATTAATTTTACATTGAAGGAGCCTGGCAGACACCATCTTAACCAAGTTAGAGAGTTAAATTAACATCACTGGAAATAGAACAAATCAACATCGTGTCCCTCCCGATCAGAGGCTCTGAGAACACAGCATACCATCTGTGCTCGTCCAGCCCTGGATGCACAGCCTGAACCCACTGACTCGCGAACACCAGACAAACCAGACTGAGGGGCAGGTGGAAGAACTGGCCTTTGTGCATCCAAAGTACTGAGGTTGTGGAAGACCAGGAAACCTGGGTGGGACCACCCGATGCACCATGGGACCCCGGGTGGGTGAGGGGTCCGGGGTTGGGATATTTGGTAAAATGCAATCCAGGTCTATGATGAAATTGTATCAGTGTCAATTTTCTGATTTTCCAAGGCTGAGCACCAAAGAACTGATGCTTTTGAATTGTGGTGTGGAGAAGACTCTTGAGAGTTCCTTGGACAACAAGGAGATCAAACCAGTCAATCCAAAGGAAATCAACCCCGAATATTCACTGGAAAGACTGATGCTGAAGCTAAAGCTCCAATATTTTGCCCACCTGATGCAAAAAGCCAACTCACTGGAAAAGACAGTGACACTGGGCAAGACTGAAGGCAAAAGAAGAAGGGGGCAGCGGAGGACAAGATGATTAGACAGCATCACCCACTCAATGGCCATGAGTTTGAGCAAACTCCAGGAGACAGTGAAGGACAAGGGAGCCTGGCATGCTACAGTCCATAGGGTTGCAAAGAGTTGGACATGACTGAGTGACTGAACAACTGTGGTTGTGGAGTAGAGAGTCCTTATTTTTAGGACATACGAGTTCTAAGTTTCAAGGAGCAATCAGGCATTTTGCCCGTAACTTATTCTCAAAGTGCTCAGAAAATATATATATATGTGGATAAATATAGACACAAAATGATAAGGTGAAGGTAAAATGTCAACAACTAGGAATGTGAGTAAATAGTACATGGTGATTCTTCGCACTATTCCTATAACTGTTCTCTAAGTTTGAGATTATTTCAAACTAAAAAAAGGCACAGAAATAAATAATTTTTTTTTAAAGGCACAGGAGCTAACTTGAAAAGGATGGCCATGGCCAGAGAGAGGACAGTTTAATGGCCACTGCCTGCTACACAGCAAATATAAAACCACGAGTTCATAATGAGACTCCCCCCAAAACTGACCAGCTTTGAAGGTTCCTAGGGCACAACTCATTATTTTAAAAATTGATAAGTAAAGGGAAAGAATCCAACATTTACCCCGACCTTCTGGTGTAAGATATATTTCAGGGTAACCAAACTGCTGACGGGGGAAGCTCTTATTTATAGAAGAATCACAAGCAGTAAGTACAGGAACAATGAGCAAGGTGGAGTTTTACCTTTCCACCCTTATGGAATAATGGGTGTGGACAGTGGGCCTTTAGTGGACACATTAGCCACCAGGAATAGCCAGTCGCCTCGGCCTCTGCATGTGAGGCCACAGTCAGCCCAGTGAGGCTGGCCCATGGTGGCCAGCCCTCACCCAGTGACTCCAGGGACAGAGCGCCGAGGACAGCGGGCCCCGGCTTCCACAGACCAACCACAAAAGGATGAGTGAGTACAGAATGGACATCAGGCCATCCTGAGGATCTGCTGCTAACTTGGGGGCAGTGATGACGGCACAAAGCCAGGTTAAAAAATTAGTTCTTATCAGTTTAGAGATACATACGGAAGTAATTATGAGTAAACTCCTAAGGTGTCTGGGATTTGTTTTGAAACTCCAAATTCATGTAAGGAAAAATTAGCCTCTCAGATTTCATTTATAGCCCTAACTAAGAAGTTGATACATTTCTTAGACAAAGGCAAAGGTGTTGGCTCCATGTTTAAATAAAATACAGCAAATTTTCCCCGGTCATGGGTCATGGGCACAGGACTGCCCCCTAACATGGAGAATCAGGGATGCAAGGCTGCCAGGTTCTCAGTCTTGGAAATCTGTTCTCGGGGCAAGCAGTGGGGCAAAAGTGTTCTTGTTTTTACTTTCATTTACTTTCAGAAGGCAATTTTTTTTGGAAAGTCACTCAGTCATGTCCAACTCTTTGCAACCCCATGGACTGTACAGTCCATGGAATTCTCCAGGCCAGAATAGTGGAGTGGGTAGCCTATCCCTTCTCCAGGGGATCTTCCCAAGCCAGGAATCAAACTGGGGTCTCCTGCGTTGCAGGTGGATTCTTTACCAACTGAGCTATCAGGGAAGCCCTTCAAAAGGGCCTGGAGAAATCCATGGACGCTACAGTCCACGAGGTTGCAGAGAGTCATACACAACTGAGTGACTTTCAAAAGGCATTAGTCTACCAAAAAAAGAAAACAAAAACAAATTTCTATAAAACAACAGTTTCCCAGATAACTAATAAGGACCTGTTGTATCACACAGGGAACTCAATACTCTATAATGACCTATATGGGAAAAGAATCTGAAAAGAGCGGATATATGTAGATGTCTAACTGATCACTTTGCTGTCCATCTGAAACTAACACAACACTGTAAATCAACTGTACTCCAATAAAATTAAAAAGAACATGACGCTGTCCCAGGCTCCCCTAAGGACATCCTATATCAGCAGGCGTGTGATTGAGAAGTGCACCCTGCAAAGCCACCCCCAGAGATGGCAACGGGTGAGTCCTACTTCCCAGGAGTAACACACAGACACATACGCACCACCTGGATTCTACACAACACGGATACTCTGTCAGGGTCAGAAGGCCCGTCTGACCCTGAGTGTGGGGGCTATGCGGTGCTGGCTACAGCGATCACTGTGGGGGTGGGATGCTGGCTTCCCCCTGAGCAAGTCTCCAGGGAGGTGTTTCCATGCTAGACCTCTGCCTGGAGGCCATACCAGAATCTGGCTGAAGCTGCCACTGCCCTGTTAGGACACGTAATGTCTACCTCCATGGGCCCTGCCTCACCCACACCCTAGACCTCTCCCCTCTAGGAGGTGCAGAGAAGGGTACGGGGCCCTGAGAAACAAACCACAGAACCCATGACATCCTTCACCCTCCACTCAGAGGACCCCTGGCCGGCACTGCCAGATCTCAGACCATCCAGATGGGAAGCCTACTGTCCTCTGCCCCTTACCTTGGCATGTTTGGTGGGCATCGTGCTGGACTTACGAGGTGACCTGGCATCCGTGTCCTTCTCTGATCTCAGCTCAGCAGAGGCCTGTGAGAAACCATGAGCCCCCGGGGTCATGAGATGGAGGCCCAGGGTGACAGGTGCTTCTTCCCACCTGTAGGACCTTCTACCTGTAGGAACAGCTGCCACCCTGAGTCCATGGCCTCAGAGGCCCCTTTACTCTCACAGTGACCCAACCCCTGGCAGCTGCTGTTATTAACCAACCCCACACCCCAAAGAAGAAGGGGGGCATGCTGAGAGCTGAAAGGGGGATCAGAGCCCATAACCCAGCTCTGCTCAAAGCCAGAGCCCTGACACCTTCACTATAGTCCAGACAACCTCTTGCCCCAAAAGTGCATCCAAAAAGCCTGTACTGAAAACTGTGAGCCCCTCACGTTCATCTCAGTGATGAGCACTGCCTTGCAGAGCCGACCTCACGGGGTCAGGATGGAACACGCCCACCGTATCTGTCCCATCACAGCATGTGCTCTGCTCACACCCCGACAAGAAACCGGGGTGTGCAGTTCATGTTGAGGAGCAAGCAGCAGTGACGAGAGAGTAGAAAACCCTAGAAAGTTTCAACCCGCCAGCTCCTCTGAGATTCATAAAAGGCTCTTCTACGAAATTAGGAAAGAGGATGAAGAGGAGGCGGCCCAGCTTTCCTGAGCGCTGAGTGACCCATCAGGGCTGCTGGACCACAGCACAGATGCTGGGCATGAGGTGGGTGGTGGGGGCACAGCTGAGACAGTGACAGTCAAGGGCTCACCATCTCCCACCACAAGGGACGAGGCCCCCACCTCCCACATTACTTGGCAAGTGGGCTTTCCCAGGTGTCCGGCCAGCCCCTTGGCATGAGAAGACTGGCCTTCCTCACCTGTGCCGTGGCCTGTGGGCCCACAGAGAAAGTCTGGAACTTGAAGGGGATATGGGCAGTCTCCCGGGGTCGCAGGAAGAGTTGGGGGGCCAGGTTGCCCCGCAGGTGGAACATGTCCTCCTCCAGCGGCGTGTGCAAGTCAGCTATGTCCTTGAAGTACCGCCACTCCTGACTGTCCAGGATGAGGCTAAAGGGAGGGAAGACAGCGCTGGGCCCAATGTCCTTCCGGTCAGTCCCAGCAGCAGGCGGATGCGTTGGTAGGGGTAGATGCCCCCCACCCACTCAGACCCAGCGGCCGGGACCCTCGAGGGCAAAACCAGCTCAGCTCTCGGTTGGAGCTGAGAGTAAAGGCTAGGGGCCTCACGGGGTGCCCACAATCCCACCTGAGCTCGGGGTTGTCTATCTCGATGGTCACTGTGTGCTGCGCGTTGTGGGGGTTCCTCAGGGCGAACTCGAAGAACTCGGCAGCACCCAGCGCGGCGTGGATGGTGTGCTGAGTGGTGATGGCCATGCTCAGCGCGCTGGCGATGCTCTCCGCCTTCGTGCGCTCACGGTAGGCGGCAATGACCTGCAGGTCTCGGGCGTGCTGGGCATGGAGGCTCTGCTGGGCCTGCAGATACAGGGACCGAGGGGGCCATAGTCCCGAGGCTCGACACGGCTCGGGGGCTGTTTTCTGGCCACCTCCCCTTCTCCACCCCAAATGCCAGACTCCTTTGGCATCAATACCACCCCCTTCTTAGACTCGGGGTCGGGTGGGACTGGCCGCCTCAAGCCCAGGACCTGGGGAGGCACCATGTGCCCAGGAGGCCGCGAGGGGCTCCAAACACAGAGGAGGCCTGGAGAGCTGAATGCCTTCAGACTTTGACACAGAAGGTAAGGACCAAATTTGACTTCTGACTTAAATTAGTTTGGATATTGACTTTCCCGTGTCCAACACTCTGGCCTTTCCCCGGGAGGAGATTGACGCTGAGCTGTGTGTCTCCCGGGGGCTTTGAAAAGAAGAGGGCAGTAGTGCTGACACTTGAGACCTCCCTACGTGGGCATTTTCTGACCAGAGCTTCTCTATGGAATGGAACCTCTGCCAGGCTGGGCTGGACACCACAGCCAGACCTAATTCAGAGTGAGAAACAAACAGAGCTGGGCTTTTCAACCTGGACTTGAGACAGAGGGCTATTCCAGCCTGTCTCCAAGAGGAGGGGACACAGCCTGCACTGCCCACCAGTTAGAGGCCCCAGGACGAGGGCTCTGGGGGACAGGCCCCGTGAAGATGGGCGCAGGGCTGGCCCATCTTCAGACTGACGGCCCAGGTGAGCACAGCGACGGCCACTCCCCGGTTCACTGTAGGCCGGGTGGGTAAAGCCACAGACAGAGACAGTGTGGCCCAGAGCATAAGGTTCCAGGCCAGGGGGAAGGGCTGGCAAGAAGGATGGACCTGCCTGTGGGGTCTGGCACCACCTGCAGCTGCCTGGCACCCAGCTCGGTCTTGTACACATTCAAGCCAATCCTCCAGTATCCACTTTATAACTGGTGAAGTGAAAAGTGAAAGTGTTAGTCGCTCACTCATGTCCAAATTTTTGCAACCCCATGGACTATAGCTCACCAGGCTCCTCTGTCCATGGAATTCTCCAGGCAAGAATACTGGAGTGGGTTGCCATTTCCTTCTCCAGGGGATCTTCCTGACCCAGGGATTGAACCTGGGTCTCCTACACTGCAGGCAGCCCAGGTTGGGTGCATGAGACAAGTGCTCGGGCCTGGTGCACTGGGAAGACCCAGAGGGATCGGGTGGAGAGGGAGGTGGGAGGGGGGACCGGGATGGGGAATACATGTAAATCCATGGCTAATTCATTTCAATGTATGACAAAAACCACTGCAATGATGTAAAGTAATTAGCCTCCAACTAATAAAAATAAATGGAAAAAAAAAAAAAAAACAGAGGTGATGTCTTGGTCTTTTTCTGCCATAGTTCTGTCATTTCTTAATTCAGAACCCACGCAGGCAAAGGTGATGACACTTATTGGACCCCTCTGACTCCCAGAGGCAGCAGTTGGTACTGCAGCCCCAGACTGGTCCAGAGGTGGGCATGCCACCCACCAGTGCAGGGACACTTGTGAACCACACGCTGGCATTTCTGGAAAGTAAAGCCCTCTCTTCCGTGGCACTTGGCGTGGTCTGACAACATGGAACACGGGACTAGTGTCACCAATTTGCTAGTGTGAGGGGCAATCCTGAGATGCCAGGGAGACGGGGCGGTGACCAATAGCGGTCACTAGGGCAGCCACTGACCTGGGCATTGGACACAGGGTAAGCTGAGTGCCCCTCACATGGAAGCTATGGCTGCCCCAGGGCCTGACAGAGGTTCTGACTCTGCACTCCTGGCCCCAGGCCAACCACCTCCCCCCATAAGCCGGAGACCCACAGCCTTGAGTCTGACCATCAGAGAAAGAAAGCTGCACCCCTAGCTGTCTCCTGACTGTCTTCACATGACCCCCAGCTCCTGGGGTCCATGGAACCACATGATTCCATGCGCTACACATATGCAGGGTCAGCCAGGACACCGTGCCTGCTGACTCTTCCCGAGGACCCACTGACTTCACAGAACTTCCATCTCTGCGTTAAAGATGAGAATCTTTCCAGAAAGCTCTGGAAGAGAGAGAGACTACCGTATATTTGATAAATCAGGTTACTTTCACCTCAAAATTCTCCAGGGCTATGAACCCAGGAAATCATCACAATTTAGCAGAAAATTTTCTTGTATTTGGAAATCCAGTTACTTACAAATTTACTGCTGTATTCAAAACAAGGTTCTGAGCTGTTGATTTTCTCTATCAGAACATATCAAATAAGAGGAAACCAGCCAAATTAATCATAATAATGATGCTGGTAACAACAGCGCTGGCAGTTGTCGGGCGGAGGACCTGCTGTGCGTGTGGCCAGCCACCCAGAGGCTGGGACCCCTGGCGTCCCCGGGTAGCAGCTGATCGGCCCTCAGAGGCTGCACAGGAGGCAGTGGCCTGGATGCCCTGAGGCCCGGAAGGAGGCCTGTCCCCAGCCCAGCCCTGGGTCAGCCTCCCCTCAAGGCATCCTCACAGCCATAGCTCTGCTCTGCGGCAGCAAGACTGTGCCGCACTCGGCTCCCATGGTCCACCGGCTGTCTGGGCTGTCTGGGCCCTACCCGGCCATGTCCCCTCTCACATCCCCTCCTGCTGTGCTCCACGCCCTTCCTCCCCCCAACCAACTCAGGGCGGTTCCTTGTCCACCTGTGGGCACCGGGTGAGGGCCAGGCATGGCAACTCTGTTTGTGTCCACCAGGCCACAGGCACAGGCCTGGCTGGAGAAGGCTGTCATCTGTTCAGACACCCGCCTGCCTCGATATAGAGGTGTGGGCTCCTCATCCCATAAACTCATAAGGTACAACCATCTTCTCCTATTTATTAACTGCAAAATACTACAGGGTCTTACTTAGATTTTTAGTCCAAAGTGGGAATTCTGACCATCACGGTTGCTCTGGCACCTGTGATAAAAAGTCCTCATGACTTTGCTCCCCAAACCTGGGGAACACTCAGAATCCCTCTCGGAGCTGTTTTAAAAGTTTAGGCTCCAAGGACCCCACCCCGCACCAGTAATTGATTAGAATGGAGCCCAGGAATTGGTTTTTATTCAAAGTACTGCCATAATTCTGGCTTGAAAACCTCCCCTTATGGCTTAGAAGTCGAATCTCTCATGTTCTGTAATGAGGACGCAGAAGGGACAGGGTGGCTCCTGCAATGTTCCGGTGAACCCGCCCGCTCCTGCTGGGGGACCAGGCACCCAGGCTCACCAGCGCGCCCAGCCCACGGCGGCCCGGCTCTGATCCACACTCCCGCAGTCGCACGGCCCTCATGCGCTCCAGCTTGCGCCTGCGGACGGCATCCCCCTCTTGACCGACACCCAGGGGCCCCCGGGCTCCCGGTCTCGGGGGTGTGAAGAGCAGGGCAGCCAGTCCGCTGTCCACGTCGGCCAGTTTCTGGGCTTGGACCACATTTTTCACTGCTGGAAGGTTCAAAGAGAGGGTCGGAGGTTAAAGGGCAGAGTTTACGCTGTCTAAGCAGCCAGGGCTCCATGCCTAGCAGAGCACTTCGCCCAGCGAGGGAGCCCGGAAAGCACCCAGCTTCTCGTGAACCCTGGGGCGCTGACACGGGTGGAAATGGTGCATCCTGCCCTGGTCAGCATCCTTCCCTTCTCCAGCCTCTCACAAAGAGGGGATTCGGTCTCGGTCTCGGGACACAAATGTATGAATCCCCCTAGGTGATCGTCTAGGAAAAACCTCAGTGTTGCAGAAGCTCACGCCCTCAGGATGCCCCAGGGCCGTGACCCTGCTCACCCCCAGTCCCTCCAGCAAGCGCCCTCGACACCCGGCACCACTCTGAGCTCTCTGGCACATGGTCCCGGCAGATCCTCAAGCTCACCTGGGTAGGGGTATCACAAGCCCCGAGTTCAGATCAGGAACTGGGGCCTCTGAGGAGTCCTGTCCCTCAGCCTGAGGTCCCTGGACAGCAGGGTAGGTGAAGACTGGACCACCCTGGCTCATACTCCAAGTCCTCTGCTCTGCACTTGCTTCCTCTGACTGGTGGGGCCCCCCAAGCCCTGTCTCCTCTGCGGTTTCTACTGGAACCCTGGACCCAAAGGCAAGTGGTGCAGCCGACAAACGGAAGTCACAGCAGGCAGGCCAGGCCCCAGCAGCCAGGAGAGCTGCACTGCCTTCCTCCCGTCCCGGGTGCTCCTGGGACATGTGCACATGGCATGAGCCACACCACAAGCTGACACACAGACTCCTGGGCAATCACTAAACCAGGCACAGGCAAGCAGGTGAGAGGGAGTCCCCAACCTGGAACTGGGTACTTCCTCCAGGCACTCCCAGAACCACAGGATGTAACCTCTAGCCTGAACTCCGCTGGCCGGGCGCCCACTCCCTGTCCTCATGTGTCTCCACCTCCTGCTGCAGTGCTCCACATCCTCCCTCAGTAGAGACGAGCACTATTTCCAGGTTCTGGGTGCCATGAGATGGTGCAGACATCTCACACCGTCATCCCAAAAGAGCACTTGTCCTGTGTCTGGGGTCCAACTCCACAGGGATAGGAGTTCCAATCTGGATCAGGCTCGAGCAGCCCGAGGCCCACGGTCCCACGAGGAGGGGCCAGGGTGGGAGATGAACAAGGATGGGGGTGATCGATCAGCTCATGTGTTCAGACTGCATCACCCCAATAAATCACTTTCCCGGTTCCAATGAAACCAGAAATGAAATTCAGTGTGACCACGCGGGACCATATTGCTGAAGCCAGGAAGTGCCTTGTAGAGCTCAGCACAACTTCCTGCTTTCAGAACCTTGCCAGGGGGTGGACATGGCTTCTGGTAGAGCACCCTTACCCTCTGGTTTTGATTAAAATAGGGATTAGAGGACCAGTGACCCTAGAGGCTCCCAATCCCTTCAACAAAACCTCACTGTTGTAACTCCCTGCACTCCCCAGAGGAGCCCCTGACCTGCCAGGCCCCGACCATGGATTTTACAAAACCACTCCCATTTTTTGGCTTTATACTATACTGTTCATGCAAAAAGGCAAAATGGTTGCCTAAGGAGGTCTTCCAAATAAGTGAGAAAAGAAAAGAAAAGAAAGGCAAAGGAGAAAAGGAAAGATACATCCATCTGAATGCACAGTTCCAAAGAATAGCAAGGAGAGATAAGAAAGCCTTCCTCTGTGATTAGTGCAAACAAATAGAGGAAAACAACAGAATGGGAAAAACTAGAGTTCTCTTCAAGAAAATTAAAGGTACCAAGGGAACATTTCATGCAAAAATAGGCACAATAAAGGACAGAAATGGAACGGACCTAACAGAAGCAGAAGATATCAAGAAGAGGTAGCAAGAATACACAGAAGAACTATACAAAAAAGATCTTCATGACCCAGATAACCATGATGGTGTGATCACTCACCTAGAGCCAGACATCCTGGAATGCAAAGTCAGGTGGGTCTTAGGAAGCATCACTACGAACAAAGCTAGTGAAGATGATGGAATTCCAGTTGAACTATTTCATATCCTAAAAGATGATGTTGTGAAAGTGCTACACTCAATATGCCAGCAAATTTGGAAAACTCAGCAGTGGCCACAGGACTGAAAAAGGTTAGTTTTCATCCCAATCCCAAAGAAAGGCAACGCCAAAGAATGTTCAAACTACCATACAATTGCACTCATCTCACATGCTAGCAAAGTAATGCTCAAAATTTTCCAAGCCAGGCTTCAACAGTACATGAACTGGGAACTTCCAGATGTTCAAGCTGGATTTAGAAAAGGCAGAGGAATCAGAGACCAAACTACCAGTATCTGCTGGATCATCAAAAAAGCAAAAGAGTTCCAGAAAAACATCTATTTCTGCTTTATTGACTATGCCAAAGCCTTTGACTGTGTGGGTCACAATAAACTGTGGGAAATTCTTCAAGAGATGGGAATACCAGACCACCTTACCTGACTCCTGAGAAATCTGTATGCAGGTCAAGAAGCAACAGCTAGGACCAGCCATGGAACAACAGACTGGTTCCAAAGCGGGAAAGGAGTACGTCAGGGCAGTATATTGTCACCCTGCTTATTTAACTTATATGCAGAGTACATCATGAGAAATGCCAGGCTGGATGAAGCACAAGCTGGAATCAAGTTTGCCAGGAGAAATATCAATAACCTCAGATATGCAAATGACACCACCCCTATGGCAGAAAGTGAAGAGGAACTGAAGAGCCTCTTGATGAAAGTGAAAGAGTGAAAAAGTTGGCTTAAAACTCAACATTCAAAAATTGAAGATCATGGCATCCGTCCCCATTACTTGATGGCAAATAGACAGGGAAACAATTAAAACAGTGAGAGACTTTATTTTCTTGGCTTCAAAATCACCGCAGCCATGAAATTAAAAGACGCTTGCTCCTTGGAAGAAAAGCTATGACCAACATAGGCAGCATATTACAAAGCAGAGGCATTACTTTCCAATAAAGGTCTATCTTGTCAAAGCTATGGTTTTTCCAGTAATCATGTATGGATATGAAAGTTGGGCCATAAAGAAGGCTGAGTGCCAAAGAATTGATGCTTTTGAACTGTGGTGTTGGAGAAGACTCTGGAGAGTCTCTTAGACTATAAGGAGATCAAACCAGTCCATCCTAAGGGAAACCGGTCCTGAATATTCATTGCAAGGACTGATGCTGAAGCCAAAGCTCCAATACTTTGGTTACCTGATGCGAAGAAGTGACTCATTGGAAAAGTCCCTGATGCTGGGCAAGACTGAAGGCAGGAGGAGAAGGGGATGACAGAGGATGAGATGGTTGGATGGCATCACCAACTCGATGGACATGAGTTTGAGCAAGCTCCAGGAGTTGGTGATGGACAGGGGAGGCCTGGCCTGCTACAATCCATGGGGTCGCAAAGAGTCAGACTCGACTGAGTGACTGAACTGAACTGAACTCCCACTAGTTCCCAGGGATGGGGACTTCCTGCTCCATCAGCCAGCTCTCCATCCATACTCTGGGTGACCAGAGGGACCCGCTGGGGGTAGAGAAGCACTGGCCCCAAAGCACAGAATCCAGACTCTAGTCCAAGTTCACAACCCTTAACCACACCACCGGCCAAGTCACCTGACCTCTCTGTCTTGGCTTCTCTGACATTAAAATGAGGTGCCTGTCTCATGCAGCATGGACCCCCTAGAGCATCTGAATGTACCCAGGCCCCTCTCCTGGGAAGAACGAGAAGGACCCACAAAGTTTGGGCTGAAGTTCCAGAAGACTGTGGGATCCTGGAGGCCTCCTTCTCCTGAGCTCCTCAGCTCTGACTTCCCACCTGGGGCACAGATTCAAGGCCATCAACATCAAGGGCCATCAACACAAGAAGTTCATGGTGGTTTTGGATTCACATGAGATGACCCACAACATTTGGGGGGTGCTCCTCTACGGGCACCCTCCACTTTTCATTCCAAGGACAGTATTTGACATTCAGGTCTGTGGGTCATTCGACAGAAAATCTTCCTGGTTATGCAAGATTTTTACCAAGCCCAGGTCTTTATCACCCAAGTTTCCTAACTGGTTTATTCTTCTCTTTCTGACATGAGGAGTTGCAAACTAGTTTTAAAAATCAGTCTCTGTGTATCCTGACCTTTCTCCATTTCCTCTTCCCTCACAAAGCAGCAGATGCCTAAAAACAAACGTCACTCATAGAACTGTGAACTCTGAAGAATAACAGTGGCTTCCACCATCTGGAGAGGGCAGGGTGGAAGGGCATGGTGACTCAACATGGCCTGCAGGTCACTGAGCCAGATGCTGAGCCACCAGTCCACCCCCAGATCCAGGACAGCGGGCACCACACAGCCTCACACATGTATACCTGCACACGCATTCACACACATTCACACAGGCACACATAGCCTCCCTTCCCTCACTCCATCCCCCCCACGCCCCCAGCCCATTACACCAAGCACAACCCTCCCCTCCCGCCAGCAGGTTCCTTGCCCTCTCCACTCACGTCTGGGGACCCCAGGTGTTAGGAGGCTGCCTCCCGTGAAGCCGCTGACGCCGTCATTCGAGATGACCCTCGACCTGGAAGGTGGCAGGGAACTGGGACTCCCCACTCTCTGTTCACACAAGTGACCTGTATGAAAACACCCCCCACACACACCACCCCACATAGCACATTAATACCAGAAAAGAGTCTGACAACACACATACAACCCTGATAAGGAGATCGGGCTTCAAATACCCCCTGACCCACCATCATCCCCACATTCCACTCTTGGCCTGAATTTGTTTTGCAACAGAGATGGTGGGTGGCCAGGAGAGGCCTGTGTTCCCTCGAGCACCCTGCTCTCCAGGTCCACACCTCCTCTCCTTCCGCTGAGCAGCCATCTGCTCTCCGGAGAGGAGTTGGGGCTCAGGACCCTCAAGGCAGGTCCCCAGGAGCCCAGCTTGTGCTCTGGGATGGTCACAGACTCTGTCGTCAGCCTTTGTACCCTTCTGCAAACATCTGTGCCCAAAAACTCCTGGCGGGAAGGAGTCTCCATGTGAGACCCCCCGGGGAGAGAGGAGACCCCCACAGAGCCCCTGGGGGAAGGGGGAAGGAGCCTCAATAGGGGGCCCTTGGGTGAGAGAGGAGCCCCCTCACAGGGCCCCTGGGGGTGGAGGAGAGGAGACTCCATGCGGAGCCGGGGGGCGGTTTGTGAAAAAGCCCTGGAGGGGACAAAGTCGCTTCAGGGGACAGGGTGTCCCAAGGGCCAGCCCCACTTCCCTCCAGCTGAACCGGGGCAGGCTTCACTACTTCCAGTGTCATCTGGTCCCAGGGATGACAAGTGTTTGCCGCAGATGTGCTTCGCCTGGGTGGATGGGCCCTGTCCTCGGGACCACCACCTCTCTGCGTGGACCTGACACCCCTCAGGGTGAGGCAGACAGAACTCAGATGTCAGACCCGGAAACAACCACCAAACACAAGACACGCTACTCATCTCTCTGATTTCAGCTGGGAGCTGAACACCGGCAGTCTGGGGTGTCCGGTGGTCTTTCTGGGAGGGGTTAGAAGGGGACCCCTCCCCCAGATGGGACCGGGGGAAGGGGTGACTCTCCTGCTCAGCTCAGCAGCCCCCTTCGGCCCCACCTCTGCAAGTCTACTTGCTGCCGGGAGGCTGCTGTTCACGGCAAGCCCAGGGCCCAACCATCAGCACGCCCCGCCGCCTGCAGGTGTCAGCTTGTCCTCGCGGGGAAGAAGGTGGGGTTTGTGTCTCCAGCAACCTGACAGGAACTCTCTCTGGGCTGTTCTCAGCCAAGGCTGGAAAGAGGGTAGCCATCCTTCCAACGGAAGTCAAGGTCCCTGCACTGCTCCAGAGGGGGGCCGCCACCCCCAGACCCCAAGGAACAGCAGCAGACCCTGGAACTGCAGTTGGAGATCCCAAACACGTCGGTGTGACAGCAGACCATCGCCCCAAAAGATGAGTGAGGACAAAGGCCTGCTGTGGACATGGGAAAGGCCAGATTCAGAAATGAAAAACTGAGGGACTTCCCTGGTGCTCCGAGCTTCCATGACAGAGGGCACAGTGTTCAATTCCTGGTTGGGAAACTAAGAACCTTCAGGCCATGCAGCAGGGCCAAAAATAAAAACAACAGACAGAAATCATCTCTGGTCAATCAAGGAGCAATTCACTCGACAAGGTTTAAAGGCTGGTGACACAGCAGTGAGCGAGTCCTGCCCTCGGCGAGCTTTCGTTCTGGTCCTCTTTAGCATTTTCTGGGAATCTCAGCTCCCCGAGGCCTTCCTGCCTCCCCTCCTGTGACGGGAGCTGCCTCCGTCACCTGCCCAGCCACCACACACTCAGATGCAGCCGTGGCAAACTGGAGGTTCTGCTTCTTCCACATCCTCCTGGGGAAACGGCCGCATGGGCGGGTGTGGAAGCCCATGGTCCAGAGCCCCCGGGGGCAGCGGCAGCCCCACAGAGTCCACTGTCAGAACTGTTCTGTCGTTGCTCTGGGAACCAGCAGGAAGCCGCCCCACCGTCCACTCTCATCGCCCGCAGATGCCCCCACGCCCTTCCCAGGGGTCTTCCATCTTCCCCAGCAAACTGAAGCCGCTAAGCATTGTTCTCATCTCCATGGTACCTATTTTTGACCTGACAGCAGCTATCATCCTAGGATTGTGAACATCCTCCCTAAGAAAGGAACCTGGTATCGACGCCTCCTCACTCAGAGGAGCTCTCACATCTGAGGATGACTTCATCCCCTGACGTCCAAGATGATGGAATTCTGAGGCCAGACAAGCTCTCAGACTGGCCGGCATAGAGATTACTTCCTGAGTCCTCCCACGGCTGTGCTGGGTCAAGGGCAAACATCACAAGGGAGAACTAGCAGTGTCCTTGAGGGCCCAATGCCGTGACTTTCTCCACCACCTAATCCTGCAGGGAGTGGGTCCCTGGGTCATGGGCAAGGAGGCCTGTGGTCCACCTGGATCCAGCTGAAAGGAGGCAGGCATGTTGTGAGCCTGATAATAGCTCCACTGAGACCCACAGAAACCCAGGGAACTGCAGCAAAGCCCAGATCTGTTCCACCAGCTCACCGGGGCAGGTGACAGCATCCTTGGAGCTCCAGCTCTCAGGAGGACCGACCATCACCACAGCGTGTGACCCAACAGAACACATGGTCACCTCCCCCACAGACAAGGGCCGTCCTGGGCTTCCTGACCACTTCCTCCCATTGTATTTGTATTTGGAGCGTCGGTTTGTTTAGAAACATGCTATAGTGCTGGTGCTAAGTCACTTCAGTCGTGTCCAACTCTTTGCGACCCTATGGACCTCAACTCCCCAGACCCCTCTGTCCATGGGACTCTCTAGGCAGAATACTGGAGTAGGTGGCCATGCCTTTTTCCAGGGCATCTTCCCAACCCAGGGACTGGACCCATGTCTTTTACGTCTCCTGCACTGGCAGATGGGTTCTTTATGACTAGCGCCATCTGAGAAGCCCTTGTTTAGAAAGGGGATAGTAAACTTGAGAAACCGGGTTTACATTTGCACACCTGCTCGAGGACTGCATGGGGTGAAGGTGCTGCATCTCATGGGGGTACAATTTGCAACCTGAAATTGCTGAGGTTTTCTTCCCCTTCCATGAGACGGAAAGTTACAGCTGGGGACCAACACATGGCTACAGAGCAGTGTGTGTTAGTCTCTCAGTCGAGTCTGACTCTTTGCAGCCCCATGGACTGTAGCCCACCAGGCTCCTCTGTCCATGGGATTTCCCAGGCAAGAATATTGAAGTGGGCAGCCACTTCCTTCTCTAGGGGATACGGAGCCAAGACAACCTCAAATCTGCAGGGCTCCCAAAGCAGCCGGGTAACCGCCCTCACTTCCATTGCGCTAACAGAGTGATCACACTGTTCAACTCCAAACCCAGGTCATCCATCAAAGTCCACAGCAACCGGTGCTCCCATAACCCCGAGAACATCAGTACTTGACCGTGGAGCCAGGGGTCAGGTCCCTCAGGAGGCCTGCAGATACAGTGCAGTGGTCACACACACAAGCAGGATCCTGGGATAAAAAACTCTTGAGATCTCTAAATGATGAAAAGGAAGTGTTGGTCTGCTCAGCTGTGTCCGACTTTTTGTGGCCCCATGGATGTAGCCTGTCAGGCTCCTCTGTCTGTGGCATTCTCCAGGCAAGCATACTGGAGTACGTAGCCATTCCCTTCTCCAGGGGATCTTCCAAACCCAGGGATCAAACCCAGGTCTCCTGCATTGGCAGGCAGATTCTTTACTGTCTGAGCCACCAGGGTAAAGCAGCAGAAGCGCCTGGCACGAAAGGAGTATTAAATAGCTCGTCTGAGCCGAGAAGCCGCAGAGCACAAGGACGGCCCTCTGCCACAGAAAGATTCCCAGGGGACCCAGGCGTCATGCCTCGATCCGCAGCCTCACACTTGAACTCAGCTGTGGATGCAGAGGCCCGGGTGCCACCCAGGCGGGTGCTGGCCCCACCTCTGTCCCCTCAAAAGGCCCACACAGCCATCACCGCCTCTGCCGGCCCGTGCCTGCCACTTGGCTCAGAACAACCAGTCTTATAAAGAAATAAAAGCCATGACACTTTTACTTTTCTTTTTTCAAAAATCGCAGACTGTACAGAGGAAAGCACAGTGCGGCCGCGTCGTACAAGTGGGCTGCATGCAGCTGCGGCGCTTCGTTATCCATCCCTGCTCGGCGACAGCGCAGCCTCCCAGGCAGGCTGTCTCAGGCTCCTTCCCACCGCCTTATCTCTGTCTTGCAGGCAAAGTATGAAAATGACAATTTAAGATAACATATAATGGAGCTAATCTTTCTTCCGAAGATAAGATTTTAAAACCTGGAGCCACTGCATATTTGTGGGCTGGTGAATTAAATATAAAAATAGCCAACACAATCTTAGAGGCAGAAGAAGGCTTCTAGCAACTCCCCTCCGTTGTGGGCACTTTTGAATAATGTCTGCTCCTCACACGCGGCTCATTTATTTCTCTAGGACCTAATTGAGTTTTGCTGATTCCATATTGTCTGTTTTCCGGGCCGCCTTGGATCTGACAGCTGTAAACAAGCGAGCAGAAGCCTCAGACCCGGCTTAATGAGCTCCACGCTGGCTCCCGCTGCTCGGCTCTGGCTCTCGGCACGCGTCGCTGAGGCCCATGGGGCTGCAGGCTCTGAAATCAGGCTGGGCTGTGAGGAATGGAAAATTCCCCAAGAAAGCGACAGAGAGGTTGGAGTCCAGAAGCCTCAACGGCTTGGCGGTGTCCTGCTTTCAGTCCTCCCACGGTCCCCTGGAGGGGATGGAGCAGGCTGGTCACTAGGCCCACGGGGCTCATGCTGCCCTCTGCCCTGAGGCGAGCACAGGCAGGCCTGCCGGGCCTAACCTCCCCTGTCCCAACAGTGGCTTAGTGAAGCCACGAGAATGTCAAGGCAGGACCATGCCAGGGCCAGAGAGGGCTTTCCTCAGCGCCTCTGCCGAGCAACTGTTGGGATACCATCTGACGTGAGGTCAAGGTGCTTGACTTTGAAGGAGAGCATCCCTGTGCTCCTCTGTCCCTCCGTCTCCCTGTCCCTCTGTCCCTCTGTCTCCCTGTCCTTCTGTCCCTCTGCTCCTCTCCCCAAGCTGTGCGTGTGGAGCTCAGGAACAGTTCTCTTGTCTCTCCCCCACAATGAGGCAGTGCTATGAGCTGACTGAGCTCTCTCCTGAAGTCAGGCATCTTATGTGAGGATCATCACAGAGATGTCCCATGCACAGTACCGAAACAGAACCTGGGCAAGACCAAGACAGCGAACAATCCCAAACCCCAACCAGGTATCAGGAATGCCGAACAACCGGTGCCAGGGAAGCCTCAGTGGTCGGGGACAGAGGCTCTGGATCATGGCAGGCACTCAGTGGACAAGGCTAGACTCAGTGGTCAACGACAGACTCGCTGGTCAAGGGCAGACTCAGTGGTCAAGCTAATGAGAGCTGAATTCCTACCGAGAGCTGCTGCCTATGTGACCACTGTCCTGAGGGGGCTCACACTCCAAATGGGAAGCAGAGTGGCTACCTGGGAACAACAGCCAAGCTGCTGGGGATTCTTACCCACGTTGGCCAAGGTCAAGTGCAGTTGGCCCTTCACCACTGTGCGGATGTCGATGGGCTTGACACAGCCAAACCTGGTCACATCTCCACTCACCACCATGGCGTCCTGCTCGTATTCAGTCGCCACGACCTCCAGCTCGTGCGAGACCTGCACGGCCGGCCGCCCTTGGCGGAGGAGGTGCTGCAGAGGAGAAGGGATGGGTCAGAGGGCGGCTGAGGCAGAGGCCATCTGCTTCTGAAAACCCGAGTTCTCGATGTTAAAGACTGATGTCAGGTCTTTAACAAAGTGCATCCTGGTCCACCCACTAAGCAAATATGAGCAGGCCCAGCAGCCCCGCACGGAGCCTCCTTTGCAGGGGGAAGTCGGGAAGTGCGCGACAAGGGGGCCCCTGAGGAAGCCCAGTGAGAGCCCCGAGGAGTCTCCACTGGGCCTCCGTGCAGGGAAGGCAGGGGGCATGCCAGGCCTGGGTCGGGAGCGCTCCAGAGTGGCTGAAAGATGGGCAGCGGGTCTAAGGAGGGACCACAAGGCAGACGGAGCCAGGTCAGGAGGGTTTCCAGGCCAGACCTAGGCTCAGAGCCAGACCAGGCAGACCCAGGAAGTACCGGGATATTCTGGAGCCCACTCTTCTCTGCTAATCAAGTTTAACCCCTCAGTCCTCAGCCTGAGCCCAAGGGCAGTGGGGCCGGGTGGGAGGGAGGGCTGGGCCCCTCGTCCTGCATGGCCTGGGGAAGGCGACCAGGCCTCTCGACTTCATACAGCAATGGAAGCGTGGGGCCAGGTTAAGTTCCTGCTTCTGGAATTCTGGCCCTGTCCCCCTAGCACCCACCTCTGGGGTGGACACACTCAGACCAGATCCCTCCTTAGCAAGTCCAGGGGCTTCCAGCTGCATAGACCCTGCTTGCTCAGCAGTGCTTGTCCACATGATGCCAACACAGGCATGGTTCAGGAGTCTTGGTGGCCAGATGGGGTGAAGACCCCTCCAGCCCTCCAGAGGGACACTGGTTAAGGCAAGAGGTGACACCCAGCTGCCCAGGGAGCAACGATGGCAATTAAAACACAGTACTGCTTCTCATCTCAGAAACTACAGAGACTTTTTTAAAAGCTAATAACCCATAAAGGGTAGGACAGTAGTAGGTCAGTCCTCCCCACCCAGTGCTCTGCACATACTGCCCCTGGTTCCTTCCACTGCCCTGGGGCCTCACCTCCTCAGGGATGGGCCCTGAGACCCAGGGGGTGGGGGCAGTTACAGCCAGAGTCAGCTGAAAGAGGGAAGAAGGGAGGGAGGAGCAGGTGGCTCTCTGAGGATGGAGAGCACAGGGTCAGAGCCACTGCAAGGGGACATGCAAGTACCAGACCCATGAGCTCCTCAAGGGGACAGGGTGCTGAGGAGCAAGGGGGGATGGGAGCAGCCCTGCAGGTCTCAGGGGCCAGCCATGCAAGGCTCAGGCAGGGTAGCCTAGGGGGCTGTGGCCGGAATCCAGAGGAAAACAGCTGTGGGGCTTCCCTGGTGGCCCAGTAGTTAAGAATCCACCTTGCAAGGTAGGACCCGTGGGTTCAATCCCTGGTCCGGGAAATAAGATCCCACATGCAGTGGGACAACTAAGTCTAAGCACCACAACTACTGAGCCTGAGCACCACAACCAGACAGACCACGTGCCAAAGCGAAGGATCCCATATGCCGGAACTAAGACCTGATCCAGACGAATAAATAGATAAATAATTTTTTAAAAAACGGGATGAAGGAAAAGTGGATGAAGGTCAGAGAGATTCCAGAGCCATAGGGATGGCTCTATATCCTCTTCCACTCCGCCCCAGGGCGGAGGGTTGGGGGGCAAGCTCTCATGACGGCACATGGGCAAGTGGATGTGATCCAGGGCCTGGTCTAGAGGCTGCCGTGTGACCCCACACTGACCCTCTGGGGTCCTGGTCACACGACAGGGAAGGTTCGGGGAGAAGCCCCAGGGAAGAAAATTGAATTAACGTGTAGATTTCAGTTTTAGCCTATGAGGAGAATAGAAAGCACAGTTAGAAAAAGGATGAGATTCTGATCCTCATGATTCATGAAACTGAGAACAGGCATCGGGAAACACTTCCCCAGCCCATCACTCACTCATCACGTCCTCCATCCTGAGGGTGCACCTCGATGGGTGGGCCCAGCCCCTGGGGAACAAGGCCGACCCCTTGCTGCTCTCAGGGAGCTGCCATGTTCACCATCAAGGGAGCAGAGCCAACATTACCTGCTCAATTGAGGGTCTGATGACAGATGTAACCTAGCATGATCGAGTTTAGGCTCTGTAAACATCGCTTCCTTTGGGGAAGGCAAGGACTCGGCAGTGTCGGAATTTGTGAACCAAGGAGCCAGGCCGACACCCAGCACTGGGCAATGACCAACACTGCCAGGTGACAGACCTTACAGGAGAGACTGTGGGAAAAACCTACCTTCAGCTGAACGGCAGCAGATCCGACAAGAAGCAGGGAGTCCCCATCCCAGACATCGATCTGCAGGGTCTGCATGGCCAGGTAGCGGGCAAACCAGCACTGCTCCCCGGGTCTCAGGAACCCAGGGTCCACCAGGTACTTCCGTTGAAAGCCCGGAGACCCTGTGCAAAGAGGCCCCAAACAGGCCCAACAGTAACTGGAATCATTTATCATCTTTATAAACTTGGAGGACTTTCTGCTCTGAGCATGATGAAAAATTTCCACTTCTAACAGAGCTGTAACTTAATAAATATATTAATCAAAACATTATAAAATACCCAAATTAACAACAGGAAGAGTGGTGTTCAGAAGACTATATTTCTTTCCAATATATGCAATAAACTACTCCTCAAATAAGACAGATGTGTTTCACCAAGTCCTGGTGAAACAGTCTATGCTGAACAAGGACAGATGCCCTGATGGGGCCAGCCAGGGAGTATGAAACCTGATGCATAGGATTTAGGGAGAAATACCATCTACTTCTTCTGTCCAAACTGGGACATTCAGGGACTTCCCTGGTGGTCCAGTGCCTAAGATGTCACCTTCCAAAACAGGGGTTCCAGATCTGATCCCTGGTCGGGGAGCTAAGACTCCATATACCTCAGGGCCAAAAAGTCAAAACAGAAGCAATGCTGTAACAAACTCAAAACTTTAAAACATGGTCCACATCAAAATATCTTTAAAAAAAAAAAACTAGGACATTCACCAGAGACAGAAGATGTGATAGATAGGTAGAGAGATAGATAAACAATGGGATATTACTTGGCCGTTAAAAAGAATCAACAATGCCATTTGCAGCAACATGGATAGACCCAGAGATGATCACACTAAGCAAAGTAAGTCAGAAAGACAAATATGATAGAATTTCATTCATATGCAGAATCTAAAACATGACACAAATGAACCTATCTACAAGACAGAAATAGACTCACAGACATAGAGAACAGACTTGTGATTGCCAAGGGGGAGAGGAGGTAGAGGAGGGAAGGGCTGGGAGTTTGGGGTTAGCAGATGCAAACTATTATATATAGGACAGGTAAATAACAAGGTCTTACTGTAAAACACAGGGAACTATATTCAATATCCTGTGATAAACTGTAGTGGAAAAGAATATGAAAAACAATATATATATATATATGTACAACTGAATAACTGTACTTCAAAAAGGTTTTTTAAAAACTGGGATATTCACACACAGGCATGTGCAGAGCTTAAACTGAAATAGAGCTTAGCACATGGTGCTGAGCCCACCCCAAGTCACCACCCAACCCCAACACACCTAGTCCCACGGGAGCCCAGGCCTCTCTGGGGTCCCCCTGGTGTCAGGCTTTTCAGTATGAGACAGGAGTTGGACTGTGACTCCAGACTTCCCTTTCCAAAGTGGCATCATCATTAATCCTTGATTGACAAAAATGTCACTGAAATCACCATTAGTTAAAGTGCAGGAAGAGCAACATGGGGGTGAGACAGTCAATTCCTGGCCAGGTTGATAAGAAGTTCAGAGTCCCCAAGGAGAAGAGAGGGGTCTGTGGCTCTCAAGGAGGAGACAGGGGTCTGGAATTCTCAAGGAGGAAGAAAGGACAAACATCTTTTTTCTCTACATTTCTTAGTCTTAGTCACATAAAGTGTTTTTTTTTCTTTAAGCCCAGAGCTGATGATTACACAACAAACAACTCAGCTTAAACTCTGTACTAAGGGCTTTCCTCATAACTCAATCGGTAAATCATCTGCCTGCAATACAGAAGACCCGGGTTCAATTCCTGGGTCAGGAAGATCCCTTGGAGAAGGAAATGGCAACCCACTCCAGTATTCTTGCCTGGAGAATCCCATGGACAGAGAGGCCTGGTGGACTACAGTCCATGGGGACCCAAGAGTCAGACACAGCTTAGCAACTAAACCACCACCACCAAGGATTATATGACAACAACGGATCCTGCTTGAGCACAGTTTCTCCTTCTTGAAAACCTTCTATATGGTGTACATATACACCATGGAATATTACTCAGCCATTAAAAAGAATTCATTTGAATCAGTTCTACTGAGATGGATGAAACTGGAGCCCATTATACAGAGCGAAGTAAGCCAGAAAGATAAAGACCATTACAGTATACTAACACATATATATGGACTTTAGAAAGATGGTAACGATAACCCTATATGCAAAACAGAAAAAGAGACTCAGATGTATGGAACAGACTTGTGGACTCTGGGAGAAGGCGAGGGTGGGATGTTTCAAGAGAACAGCATTGAAACATGTATATTATCTAGGGTGAAACGGATAACCCGCTCAGGTTGGGTACATGAGACAAGTGCTCGGGCCTGGTGCACTGAGAAGACCCAGAGGGATCGAGTGGAGAGGGAGGTGGGAGGGGGGACTGGGATGGGGAGTACATGTAAAAAAAAAAAAAAGAAAGAAAACCTTCTGACTAATCCTGTTATCTTAAAATGTATATTTTGGGAGTGGGTCTGGTAAGATCTTTCTATTGTTAGTTCTAATCCTGTCATCTTAAAATGTAAATTGTGGGAGTGGGTCTAGTAAGAGCTTTACAACCTTGAGACATTCTTTTGATTTATTGCAATAACCAATTTAAAAAGTATATAGCTCCCTTCCTAAGAATAGTAAGTGGGAGCACTGTCTGTCCCCCTTCTGATGTCTGGTCAGAAGCCTTCTCTGTCCCTTTTTCACTTTAATAAAACTCTGCTACACAAAAGCTCTTGGGTGATCACGTCTGGTCCCTGGTCCCGAAGCTAAATCTTCTTCCAAGATCACAAATCTGACATTGTTCACCCGTAAGCTATCAAGGGAAACATACTGAATCCAGCAGTTCTTCCCTTTCCATCAACCATATAACAGTATTTTAAAAGCGGTCCATATAATCAAAGCTATGGTTTTTCCAGTAGTCATGTATGATATGAGAGTCGGACCATAAAGTGAAGAAGGAATTCATAGGGCCTGGACTCCATCTCAGGCCTGTCCGTGCTGATCGTGCTCGGCCACCTCTCCAGTGGACTCTGAACTCTCTGCTTAGTGCCTGTGGGAACGACAATGGAAGGATAAGACCCCCTCCAGACAGGGGAACCTTGAAGATCATATAAAAGTTACTCATCACCTAAGAGAAAACAGACACTAATCACCCCTGCCTCTATCGGAATGTAACCACAGGCTTATCCTTATTAACTGGTTGGAATGTAACCGCAGGCTTATTGATTATTAACTGTTTGAACACATAACACGTGAATGATGGGGTTATTGTGATTGTATTTACCCTTCCTTTGTAAGCCTCAAGGGATTTGGGGTGGTAGGTTTGGACACGTACACATGGGGTATAAAAGATTTTCACAAATGCTGGTCGGGGTCCTTGGCTAAGAGGAGACTCTGCCTTGGGCCCACCGGTGTAATAAACTGCACTCCACTATCTGTATTGTCCTTCTGAGTGAGTATGTTTCCCGGAAAGTGTGGCTATAACAAAAGAAGGCTGAGCACCAAAGAATTGATGCTTTCAAACTGTGGTGTTGGAGAGTCCGTTGGACAGCAATAAGATTAAACCAATTCAAAAGGAAATCAAACCTGAATATTCATTGGAAGGACTGTTACTGAAGCTGAAGCTCCAATATTTTGGCCACCTGATGCAAAGAACAGACTCACTGGAAAAGACCTTGATGCTGAGAAAGATTGAGGGCAAGAGAAGAGGGAGGCAGAGGATGAGATGGTTAGATATCACCAACTCAATGGACATGAATTTGAGCAAACTCCAGGAGATAGTGAAGGACTAGGAAGGCTTGGTGGGCTGCAGTCCATGGGGTCACAAAGAGTCAGACATGAGCCAGCAACTGAACAACAAAACCTGGGGAGGAAGGCAAATGTTCACTCAGCAGCCTGAGTTCCCGGGCCAGGCTTAGCCCCTCACCCCCTACAGCCGCCTCAGCCCATGGGCACCCACATAGTGCCCCCTCCACTCTCCTCAAGGCCAGGACAGTGGGAGCAGTGAAGCAGGTCAGGACAGCACCCACCCGGCATTAAGAGGGAATAGGGGGTGGTCCTGGTGGGCCCAGGGAACACAAAGAAAAGTCCAGACACGTGGCCCTGGCTCCAGCCAGAAGCACCGCGCACCTCCCCGCCCCCGGGCAGTGCTGGGCAGGACAGAGCACGGAGCAGCAGGACAGAGGCCACGGGAGGGGCTGGGAATGATGTCATACGTGGCAGGCCAGGCCCCAGTGTCCCGTCTCCAGTGACCAGAGCAACTCACCGGGCCAGTGGAGGTCAAGGACCCTGCTGCCCTGCCCCAGCCCCACCAGCCAGCTCCAAGAGCTAAGCAACCTGGGCATCTGCTCAGTCTCATGACACCCACCCTGAGGCTGCTCATCCAGGTGCCCTGGGGACTGGAAAGAGGACCAGGCAACGTGGAAGGTCAAGTTCACAGCACCGGGTAGCACCCACCTGCTGGGCCCCCTGGGCTGCAGAGAAGGAGTATCGGAAGCACTGACCCCTACGCTGGTCAGACTACTAGCTCCAGGACACGAACTGTGTGGGCTGACCTACCAAATGACGCCACAGACACCCTTCCTGGGGGTTCCTCCACACTTACCTCCAACACCCCCAGCCCCACTGACCATTTACCCAGACTTGCACTTGTGCCTGAATGCAGCCCATCCCAGCTGGATCCTGCATCTTCTTCCTCAGCCAGATCCTCCTTGCGTCAACCCAAGCTGCCACCAGGCACCGTATCCTCTCGACACCCCTGCTGGGCTCCATCATCACCACATCCCTTCGGCAGGCAGGTCCTCTCAACACAAGCATGAATTCACATGCAGTACATGCCCCAGGCCCCGTGTGGGGTCATGTTGGGGGACAGGATGGACAGGCCCCTGCTTGATGGGGCTCATGGTCTCAGGGGACACACCAAGCCCAGAGCTGACAGTGTCCTGAGCATCACACACGGAAGCCATCCTTGTCTGGGGGCAGCCAAGGCCCCTTGTGCTGGACCCTCCCCACTCCTCCCCACTGTAGGCTTGGACCCCTTCACTCCTGTCTAGTTCAGACAACTGGCTCCTTGGTGGCCTTCCCTGAGGCCCAAGCTCCCCGCAGTCCATCCCATCGCAGTGCCAAAGCACCCATTAAAGA